AGAAACAAGGGATCACAGTTCATCAGCTAGAACTATTGTTGAAATTCTGTTAAAAAAAATTTTTAACCCGACAAAACATTCTATACAAAGTAGACACACAGAGTTCCCATTATTGTTTCAGAAAACAAATAACCACTTTTTAATTATGCAAGTAACAATTTTAAACTAAAAACAGAAAGAAATAAAACCTTAGCTCCAAATCTAAAAAAGAGGGGGAGGAGATATAGGGATAATTCTCTTCCTCTTTGGACAAGGGCATGAATCACTATGATACCCAGTGGCTGCTGACCCAGCTGGAAAGAATCAGGGAGAAGGAGATGCTAATCTGATGAAGGGGGTGTGGGGAAAATGCAGTGTGCTAGGGTGGAGCAGAGGTGCACAGGTGTGGTCACAGGCCATGCATAATAATGTGGGTGTCCTCTGGGAACAGATCACTAGCCCTGATTTTCTTTAAGGTGTTTGAATGAGAACTTCCATCAGAGTCACTGTGCTGTAGCATCATGTCATAATTAAATACATATCTAAATCTATATCTAAATACAGATACATTTCTATGTCTAAATTTATATTTTAGTTTCATACATTTCATTTATAATATATTAATGTATAACATTATACATTATAATGTACTAAAGTATAATGCCACATATATTAAATTATACACCATATATAAATTGTATACCACATATACATATTAGGCTTCTGCCTAGTTATTTGTCTGCTTTTGTGTGTGTGTGTGTGTGTGTGTGTGTGTGTGTGTGTATTCAGTGTCAAGCCCAAGGGCTTTCATACACTAGGCAAGCACTCTACTACTGAGCTACATCTCCAGCCCATTAGTCAGACTTTGAAGAAAGACTTTCATAGTCAAACATAATAGTTTGAAAAAACACAAAGAGGTCACGAATTGGAGAGGGAAATAAAAATGAGATATTTTGTGGACCTTAAAAGAGGTAAAGAAAAGGATGGGAATAAGTGAGACCCTGCAAATACAGCCAGTGAGAGAGATCATTCAATATACAGAAAAGACCCATGGATGGAGGCAAAAAAAACCCACAAAAGCAAAGAACATGGGTGAAGATGAGGAAGATGTGAATTCCAAATTCAAGTGGCAGGCTGTCATGATTGATTCTATGAGGGAATGGAGATAAGCTATTAATGAGAGAATGCCACGGTTTGCAGTTAGTAGGATATATAGCAGGCTTCCAGGGAAATATGACGAATTCAACATGTCACACATTGGCTTCAGATGCTTTATGGACAACACAGAAGAAATGACCACTAGATGACTGATATGTGGCCTTCAGTCAAGATCTGAGATCTGAAGAGGGGAGCAGGATGGTAGTTGAAACCATGACCATCTCTGGATCACAAGTCTGCATAGAATAAGGAATGGATGAGCCCAGAGTCCTAGGGATGGGGGGGAGTAGGTGATGGATAATCAGATCTGAGAAGGATGCCCAGAAACGATTGATGATGTCCTAGACACCAGAGAAGAAATGTTGAAAAGACAGTAGACAGCAGTGTCATGCCAAAGATGGGTCAAGTTCAGAAAGGAATGGAAACATTAAGAAGGAGATTTACTTAAAATGAGATGTTACTTTGAAGAGGAAGCAAAGATCTAAATAATTTTTCAAAAGCAATCTAACAAAAATAGTGTTTTAGAAGCAACCATTTCATAACCACTACCCTGGAATTTGTTATTGCAACAACATTACTTATTTTAAGAAATATAAAACAAAGCCAAAAACATGGTGATTTTCATGTCTCAGTTTTGGTCTGAGAATGTGTTTTTTTATTTTTTATTTCTTCTGAATGTGCCAAAATAAGCCATCAAGCTAGGACTAACTTATTAACTATTCAATAGTAGCTTTTGTCACATTTTACTTGTATCAGGCATGTTTGAAAAAATTAAAAGTATTAAAATAGTATTTACTATGATGGGAAAATAAAATCTAGCAGTGATATGAGAAGAATTCCAGTTGTTAGAATTGTGTGAGCAAATCCACATAGATTATCCATCTGCCCGTCTACTTTCTTTTAAGTAAAAGTTAGGGTGAAGTGACTTTGCACCTGCCAGCTCAGTTACCATATACAAATCACAGGACTGCTGGAGTCCAGTGTTCTTGTCTCTAAAACCAACTGGGCGGGGGGCTAGGGGGGATGTGAAGTGTGGGATCTTCTGGAGCTCTGCTTTGCAAACTATAGATTAATCAGGTCAGAGCTGTGAAATTAAAAATATCAGAGTACTCTCCACTTACTGAGTAAAGTTTTGTTTGGCCAAACTTAGGTTTTAGCTCTGAGTGTATGTGAGAAAGAAGAGGCAGGTACAGATCATGATGTAGATGTTTTTATTTAGTTTTGTTTACTGTGGATTGTAGTTAAAAGATATCTGAGAAACACTGCTCTCTACCAGAACCCCTTCCTATTCTAAAATTCTCTCCTTCTACTTAACTGATAAATTCTTCTTTTGGTGGAGTAAACATTTGATAACTCCATGGAGTGGCACATGTAAACACGGAAGGAATGACTGCTAATAAGAAAAGAGAATAGGATTCAAAGGTTAAATAAGGCCAACATCTGTGTTGTATTTTACCACAGGACTCAAAAAGCCTTTAAAATTTATTAGTATTCCGACTAGCAAGTCATTATTGTAATTTATGAAGAAAAGTTAAAGTATACTATATAGTAACAAACAATAGAGTAATTCTTTTGATGGCCACATAAATAAGCAACCATATCAAGGAAAAATAATACTTTTTTCAAAAGTGACAATACTATGGCACATAAATTCCACAATTGGCAATTAAATCAATGTGGTGAGCGTCCACCCTTTGCCACATAAAAAGATTCATTGACGTGGTTATGAGACAAGTCAGTATATTTTTATTGGCCTGAACTAGAGGGAGTACACACCTTAGTCAGGTGTTTTGTTTTAGAAACAGCTGTTTGAACTTCCCCTACTGGTTAATTCTGCTCCAGGGCATATTTGAGCATTTGCTCTTTTCCAGCGTGCTTACTGACAGAATCCTTGTGAATGAACAATCTCCTATAAAACCAAGACAAAGTGAGTTCCTTTTTCTTTCCTTTTCTGGAAACTGTTTTTAATGCTTCTTTACCCTATGAAATTTCATAGATGTTAGGTGGTATTAACGAGGATAATTTAGGAAAGCTAAGGAGTATGAATCCCCCACACACAGGAAATTGGAGGGCATTGTTTTCATTTATACCTCCTAGCACAGCTCTTTTAGCCTTTGCATCTTTATTTCCTCTTGGTCCTTTTATAAACCTGGGGTGTTTGCTTTGCCCCTCTGCCAATCTAACCTCCAACTTTTGACAATACCATATCCTCTGTCACCTTTCCATTGTCAGTCAACTGGCAGAGAAAGTGGAGGCAGGAAAGGAACTGAGGCCACCCATGGTATCCCCCATATTTTCACAAACACTCCTTTCTTCCTGTAAGACTCCTGGAAGGTAGAAGGTGGTCATGCTGACTGGGGTGTAGGCGGTGGTGGTAGAGTGGGCAGAGCTTGCTCTCCCTACCCACCACAGCAGCGGATTGGCCTCTGGCAGGTGCAGTTTCCTCTTCCCATCTGTGCAGTGTAGGCTCCTGCTTGTTCCTTGGTATACAAGCATTTGTGATTGTGCCATATTGAGAAAAGTGTTTTTGTTTATTTGTTGTTGTTTGTTTACTCTATGGGAGAGCAAAGGTAGGGCCTGGACCCCCAAGGTAGGTACTCCTCTCTGATTTCTTGTGCCACCCAAAATGCAGGAGGATATGGGAGTATGATGATACTCAACAACACGAGAGACTAAATACAGAATAGAGCAGAAGACACAGGCAAGTCTTGAGAGTTGGAAGGAAGATAGTGGGTCAGAAGGTAATGCAGAAACTACAAGGTTTATGTTGGACCGTAAGAATCTTGTTTTCTTTGGGTTTCATCTTTTGGCTCTAAGCCTCAGAGTATGATGATACACAGAGTTCACCCAGCCAGATGGGTGGCCTACTACAGGCATACTTTCTTTAATCATAAATTTTCCTGGTTAAATGATGATACAGATAGATTCTGTACTTATTCCAAAGGTTTCTTGTGATGATAAAAATATATTTATATGATATGAAACAGTTTATATGAAAACGTCTTGTTCTTAGGTTTTTTTAGAATGCAAATATAAGCTTTAAAAACTTATTTTATATTCCTTATATACTTTCTCTCTGGAAAATTTTCTTCTTCACTTAGTGTGTAGGATTTCAACCATAAGCCATGTTGATTCCTAGACTTCATGGATTACAAATATAGAAACACCATAAAGAATATAAATATCTGCATATTTCTCCAAGTTCTTTTCCATACCTGTAGGCATGGGTTGTGTGGGACAGACTGACCACTCATCACCAGTTCCCAATGCTCAAAGCGTTAGGTAGAAGCCACTGGACACTTCAGAATGCCAGTGTGTCCCCATCTGTGTATGTTAGCAGCTGTTTGATGTCTGGATGTGTCACATGAACATCCAGATCAGTACTTTGAGCTAAGCATGGAACCAGGTGGTAGACTTGAAATTGGCAAGTCTGAATAAGTACAAATAATGATAGAGAACTGTCATCTCAAATAAAATTACTACTTCCTTTTCTGAAATTAATCTATGGTATATTTTCTGATATTTACAGATTATGTTATAAACAATGGCTTCTTGACTCACTGACTTTCTTCTCCTGAAAGAAACATGTAAACCTGAATTTCCTCTACTTCCTATGTTCAAATAACCCTATTATTTTTATAATATTTTAGACAGCAAGTTATCTCTTCATTATGCAACTTAACAATATAGGAAGTCACTGAAGCTTGCACACAGAATAAATCATGCATATGAAAGGCAGCTGAGCCCAGGTCTCCTATGTGTCTCTTCCTTTCCACCTTTCCTGATTCCAGTTTAACATGACACTATCTTTCATATAACCTGAAGACTATCTAAATTGTTGACCTGTAAAATTTTTCTTTTAGGATCCACCCACTTCAGTTTCCCTTGGACTACGAATGGAAGAAATGATTTTCAACTTGGCAGACACACATCTATTTTTCAATGACTTAGAAGTAAGTACTAATTGTTTCATACATAATCCATGCTGCATGTCTGGAAATAGGTGATTAGTTTTAAAATAACAATGAGAGATTATTTTGAGATATGTAATTGGAATAAAATGAACGAAGTAATTATTATGTAGCAATGTGTTTTGCCTCATGGTATATCTTATCTACTTTACTTTGGCTGTTATGTCTCAAAGTTGGATCCTCTATAACCATTGGTAAGAATTAAAATTTGATATTAAGACTACTAAATGGTGAACATTTTTGGTTATCAGAAGCACCATATTTTTCAGTTTTCATAATCAGTGTTGAAATGTATTTCCTGAGAATCCGAGAATCCAATAGAATTTGTGACAGTTGCATACACCGTCCATGTCAGACTCTTAATATATTCAGTGACACGCTTTCCTGTCTAGTCCAATTGTTTGAAGAACATCTGGGTTGCTTATGTCTAACTGATGTCTAATCTTGTATCTCCCTGATGATTTTATTGGTCCATTATGATTTGGGAAAAACTTTTGTAAGATGGCCAGCTACATGTATGATGGGCACTGCCAAACACACCTTGGTTAGCAGCCTTCTTAACAATAAAGAACACTGTTTTCTCATATCTCCATTATGAGAAAACATAACTGTAACTACATTTCACTCCCTTCTAATGGAGACAGTTGTTTATTTAAATCCCGCCGTTAAGCAAGCTTGTGGTAGGGCTGCCAACAGGCATTAATCATCAAGTTGTTATTGTGCTAGATTTTATAAATGTATGTTATTTCAGAAAGGAGAATCTGAAAGATTCAAATAGAACTTTTACTGATCAAAGTTAATTGGCAGCAATTGGCCTTTAAATATTTCCTGATGTTTCCCTTTTCAAAATCAAGCAAAATGCACCTTATTTAATAGATGAGCCAGAGTCATTTGAAAAATGCCCATGTGTGACAGAACTTAAATGTGGTTTGTTCAACATCTGTCCTGTATTTTGATTTCTTTTCATCTGCAATGAAACTCCTCACAGATGATTTGGCAGCTTCTAGTGCAATAAAATTATTTAAATGTGCTTTATGTTTTTCTCATTCCTTAGTGAAGTATTTATTTTTTACACTGAGAAGTAAAAAGCAAAAAAAAAAAAATTTTGCATTTTTAAGTGTTTGCTTTCCTCAAGGAAATTACATGTAAGGCATTACTATTTTTTAAGGTGAAAATAGTCTAAGTAAGTGACAAGTTCAGAATTGCCTTTATAAAAGCTTAATAGTCACACTTATTTTCAAAAGCTGTTTCTGATTTATGGTTGTGTTTTACTTCATGAGAGAATAGCACCAAAAATTCCTTATTTTACTAGTATAGTAAAATGTCTTTCCTAAATTTCCATTTGTTTCTAAAGATACAGACTTGACTGATAACTTTGTCCTAGATACAGGGTTGTTCCTCTCTCTGATGATAACAGGTGTTAATAACACCCATTAAAAATAAGTTAGCAGAAATTTGCTATTGTTTTAAAACTCCTTCTTAAAATGACTTTCTATATAGTGCCAAAACTATGTGGTGAAAAAGTGAGAAGTTAAGAAAGTAATAACTTGCTATAATATAGACCAAAGAACTTCTACACTGTTTTGATTGAATACAAACTTTTGTTTAATTGACAGTATGTACACTAAAGTGTGTATAGAGACTGAAATAGTCTCTGTGTACTGGTATAGTACAGAGACTTAAACAAATATATACAAAGTGTAAGTGAAAAGTTCTAGTTTAAAGATGTAGTTTTTTTTTTCTTCTTTAAGGATATAGTTTAAGGATGTTTGTTTTTTTCTTCTGAAAAACCCTAATAAAGTAAAGAATAGGACTGAAGTTGCGGCTCTAGCAGTAGAGCACCTGCCTAGCAAGCGTGAAGCCCTGAGTCCAAACCCCAGTACTGCCAAAAAAAGAAAGAAAAGAAAAAGAGTAACTAGTGGTTCATGCATTTATGGAAATACCAGATTCTACTCTTGGCATGAAGGTTATTTATTATTAGAAATAAAGTGGGAAAGAAAATGAAGATATAATTCATCAAATGTTTAACATAATAACAAAAATATATTTAAGCTTATCACCTTACAAAAGTTAACTATGACTTATTTTACTTGAGAATAATATAAAGATATCAACAAAAGTATCAATGAAAGATTTATTTAGCCTGCTTTTGGAGATCATTGATTTGCTCTAGATTTGCAAAACATTTTTATATAAATTGGTTCTTATGCTTATTTCAATCTTTCATTTTACATTTGTGCAATTCAACAAACCTGGGACTGGTCATTGCAAATATAAGTTTCTTTCAAAATAAAAAGTGAAAATACTTCCTGGCAAAAATAAGTTTATTGGCATGATGCTCGTAAGAAAATCAAAATTATCTCATCAGGCAGACATGATGGTGTAATGCCTGATTTCACACACCCATTGGCAATGTCCACACATTGCAGGAGACACAGATATTTTAATATGCTTAAATTACATTTGTAGCTTTTTTAAGTCTATGGTACAAGTAATTTGAAGGCATTTAACAATTTATTGGTCAGCTTGGAGTGTGATTTCTGAACTCTGATTGTTGATATTTAGCCTTACTTTCTTCACAAATGTAAATTTTTTGCCAGTCAGTATAATTTGCTTAGTTCACAGAGTAACATACTCTGTGAGGCTTCCAGGAACATTTGTTGTGTTATCAAAGTATGTGTTTACAATGGCTATTAGGATACAGCTTACAAAATTTAGGAAAGAATTTTAAAGTAAGTTAGGAATATCCTAATGAACTCTACGATGTAAAATAATTAACTCTTTTAAAGTTTTAATAATCTTGTCATCTCAGAGAAGTTTTTAATTTAAAGAAATTAAAATTTACATTAATTTCATTGACACATCAAGAAAAGTTAAGAGAAGAAATGTTTTTTCTGTGTCATTAAAAATAGTTGACATGTTAAAGAGTGTGACTGACCGGGAGACAGTTTTCATGGGATATAGTATTCTCCCCGACCAGAGACAGGTTTAGCCATTAGCCCACAGTGTACCTCTGCCTAACTATTTCTTAGTCTGACTAATGTCCTGTGCGTCACTTTACAGAAAAGGTCCCCGTGTGCAGAACCGTGAAGCTTATATGGAAGTCATTTTTTATAAATGACAGTATGGCATTGGAGAGCTATTTCAGCTTCTTCAGTAGAGTATGACTCTTTCTGACTGAGTGGAGAAAGAGCTCTTCCTGCTGGGTTTTTATTGAAAACAGTGAGGAAATGCTTTCAGTCACTAAAGGTTTTCATCCTAACCTGGCACTGGTCAGTTCTCCTGCTGGAGTTTTCCACAGTTAGAAGAAAATATTTTATAAAGATGGATAAAAGTCTAAACAAAAATAAAGTATTAAAGTTAATGCTGAATTTTCTCTTTCTGCCTGGTGTAAAGTAATATGCTTTCACTGGCATTATTAGCCTTCAAGCAAAGGCAGGAGTTGGGTCTCTGGTACCAGGTGACATGTTCCCCCTGCAGGGATGAGAGCTGGGAAGTGGTGGGAGCCCCCTCCTTGTGTCTGTGAACACAGGTGTTTGAAGCTTTTGTACACCATGCTTACCTGGGGGATTGCATAGCTGCATTGGGCCAAACCAAAGACTCTTAGGTGTCAGGACATACAACATAAACACTCCCACCTTTTCTGGGGCCTTCTGTCTGTAGACTCCCATCCCAGGTCAATATTAAAGCCCCTTGTAATACCTTGTAAGCCCCTTGTTTGTACCTTTTCTATTAAAAGAAAGGCCTGGCACAGACAGAGGTTCTAGTCTCACTAGAGTCTGGGTTTGGGGAATCAAAGGCCAAGCTTGTGGACCATGTCTAATGACATCATCGTTTACAGAGAGTAAGTCACACGGTTTTTCTTGTACAGCAGAAAAATGAGTTTATACCTTGATGAAATCTGCAGTAATACTTTATTACTCTAAAACCGAAGTTATTATCTACTAATTATTTTAATATATTTTATTTTGAAGTTTATTTTTAGCTAGGAAAAACTCTTCTTCAAAATAATCAGTCATGCCAGTGTTAAGTGACATCAAATGAAACACCCCATAAGGCCTCATCCTTGTGCTTCCAAAAATGTAAAATATTTAATTCAGGTATTGATTTTTTTGCATTAGATAAGTATAGTTCACCTAGAAAGGACTTTATAAATAAAGAGGAACTCTGATGTCCAGTGTTCAGGTTAGTGTGTGCATGAAGTCCTGGTTCTCCTGTGCCTGGGAAAGGGTCTTGAGCTGGTGAGGAAGATGCTGCAGGAAAAACCAGAGCTGTTCTGGGCTTTCAGTCCCTTCTGTGAGCCAGAGGTGCCTACATGAACTATCAATAATTGCATCCCAAACACTAATGTCACACACACGCACACACATCCCTTGCCATTTTCAGCTCTGTACCTAGGCTTTGAAATAGTTTTTCTCCTGATGAATTCCGCAAACATAAGGAGTTACATTTCTTTAATCCTGGTAATGCCCCTCTCGACGCCTGACACGTGATGGTTATTAAATGAGTCTTGCTGCCCTGGTTCCTGTGTGTTGTCCTAGAATAGAAGAGCGGTGCTGGCTTCCTTGCCATAGACAACAGTAGAGCTGGCTTTGCCTTCTGCCTTCTTCAGGCTAGATTGCCTGGCCTTAGACTTGTCATTAATTTGTTACTTAGTAACATGAAAACCCTCAGTTTGGGGGGAATATAAGTTTTTCAAGTACCGAATGGTTATTAAACATAACATTTGAATTTGTGAAATACATTTGTTGAGTTTGAGTATATTGAGTTTAACTATATTATAACTAATGGCCAAAAAGAAACAATACTTGTATTTTATAAATTGTTGTTTTTAACATACAAATTTTATTATCCTTTCCATTTCTTTATTTCCCATAATATTCTGTTAGCTTTATTTTATCTAAAGTTAAAGATAGAAATATTATATTCAAAGACTTCATAATTTGATGTTTATCAGAAAGTTAAGAGTCAAAGTAGGTAGC